CTTCACACCGTTTAAGGACAAGTTCCAGGTTATGGAGACAGTGAGCGAAGGAGTCTCCATAAACCGAGAAATCGTCCATAAACACCTCCATGATCTCGCCGACCAGTCGGTCAAAGATGGCGAGCATGCATCGCTGAAAAGTGGCTGGGGCGTTGCATAGCCCGAATGGGATCCGCCGGTAAGCAAATGTGCCGAAAGGGCAGGTGAAAGTAGTCTTCGCCTGGTCCTCCGGTGCAATAGGGATCTGAAAGTACCCGGACATCCCATCCAGGAAGCAGTAGAACTCGTGCCCCGCCAATCTCTCCAGCATCTGATCAATGAACGGCAGCGGGAAATGGTCCTTCCGAGTAGCGTCGTTGAGACGCCGATAATCGATGCAGACACGGTACCCAGTCACCGTGCGCATCGGGATGAGCTCGTTCTTCTCGTTAGGCACCACGGTCATCCCACCCTTTTTGGGTACCACCTGGGTGGGACTGACCCACTCGCTGTCAGAAATGGCGAAGATGATCCCCGCGTCCATCAGCTTCACGATCTCTGCCCGAACCACAGCCTCCAAGTTCGGCGTCAATCTCCTCTGCGGCTGCCTCACTGGCCGCATCTCATCCTCCAGCAGGATCCGGTGCGAGCAAAAAGAGGGGCTGATCCCCCGGATATCTGTGATCTTCCATGCCAAAGCTCGCTCATACTGCTTCAGCAAGGCCACCAGTCTGGTCTTTTGCTCGGGTGTGAGGGTCGAGCTGATGATAACTGGCAGCTTATTCCCCTCCCGGAGAAATGCATACTCCAAATGAGGAGGGAGGGGCTTAAGCTCCAGCTCTGGTGGTTCCTCCAAAGAAGTGGTGATGCGGGGGGAGGATGAGATCGGTTTAAACAGCCTGTCGCCCTCCAAGAAGGGGCCACTCTCCAATGCGGCCAACTGCTCCGCCAGCTGCGGCTCCTGCAATGCCTGCTCACCTAGCAAAATACAACGCTCAAGAGCATCATCAGTACCCGCACTCGTGATGGCGAGTGCGGTCTCATAATCGGCAAGCACATCACAGTAGTCTATGTCATCATGCAAATGAGAATGTTTCCCATTGTCAGACACAGAAAAAGTAGCCTGTTCATCACCAGCACGCAGAATCAATTTACCACTATGCACATCAATAAGCGCCTTGGCGGTGGCGAGAAATGGTCGACCCAAAATCAAAGGCACATCCACATCCTCATTTATATCCAAAATAACAAAGTCAACAGGATATGTGAATGCACCAACATTAACAAGCAAGTCCTCAATGATACCCCTAGGATGCACGATAGAACGATCAGCTAACTGAATGCTCATCCTAGTAGCTCTAGGTTCACCTAGGTCTAGCTTCTTAAACAGTTTATAGGGCATGACATTAATACTAGCGCCCAAATCCGCCAAGGACTTTCCTACATGCATGCTGCCAATAACAAGAGGGATAGTGAAACTCCCTGGGTCTTTGCGCTTCTCTGGCAGCTTGTTCTGCAGGATGGCAGAACACTCCTCGCTGAGCATCACTGTCGAAAGATCCCCAAGTTTCTTCTTGTTAGTGAGGAGGTCTTTCATAAACTTGGCATACTTGGGCATCTTCGACAGTGCCTCCACGAACGGCATGCTGATGTTGACCTGCTTCAACATTGCCATGAACTTGGCAAACTCTGTCTCCAGCCTGTCTCGATGGAGTCGAGTGGGGAAGGGCAGCTGGGGTGTATGCTCCTTAACCACAGGTTGCGGCTTTGGAGCAGGTGTTGTGCTGCCTTCTCCCACCTCTGCAGTATCAGCTGGAGGTGTTGAAGCAGGTAGTGGTTCGTCTCGCCCGGGTTGAGCAGGAGCAGCAGATGTAGTCTTGCCACTCCTGGTGGTGATGACGTGTGCGGTCTCATGCGGGTCCCGTGGATTGGGAATGGTGGTGGCAGGCAGAGTCCCCGGTGCCCTGGTGGTGTTCTGGCGGGCTAGGCTCCCAATCTGATTCTGGAGATCCTGCAGAATGGCACCTTGGTTCCTCTGGCCTGCCTCCAGTGAGGCGATGTTCTGATCCATCCTCGTGAAGTTCGCCTGACTGGTGGTCATGAAAGCCTGCAAAATATTCTTCAGATCAGATATCTGAGGATCTGGTGCTGCGGCTGCTGGAGGCTGAGCAAACTGGCGCTGGGGCTGCTGGAATGGCTGCCCTTGCCTAGGCTGGTAGGGCTGCTGCTGTGGTGGTTGCCCCTGCCTAGCCTGGAAGGGCTGCCTCTGCTGGAAACCACCTGCTGGTGCTGGGAAACCAGGTGGTTTGTTGGTGTTGCTGCTCCAGGCGAAGTTGGGGTGCTGGCGCCATCCCTCATTATAGGTGTTGCTGTATGGGTCCAGGCGCCGAGCATTTGCTATGAAGTCCACCTGCTCTTGGGGAGTAGAAGACTCCCTCATCGACTGACAATCCTCCACCAGGTGATTCGGGCTCTCACACCACTGGCACTGGGCTACTGGAGGCGTAGCTACTCCTCGGCCCGGAAAGATACTGTTAGGCTGCTTCAATGTCTGCACCAACTCAGCCACTTGCTGCTCTAACCCGGACCTGGTCTCCATAGCATGCACACCCCGGTCCCGGGAGTTCCTGCCTCTGTGGTTCTGCCCCCAGGAATGGTCTCGGGCAGCCAAGGTACTGATCATCTGGTTCAGCTCGGGTGGAGTCTTAGTAAGGATATCCCCTCCTGGGCATAGAGACTCGATCACCCTCTGGCTGTCTGGAGTGAGGGCGCTGTAGAAGTTCCCTACTGTGAAGGCATCGCTGAAACCATGATGGGGACACTGCCAGAAGTATCCCATGTACCGCTCCCATGCATCACGAAGGGACTCGTCTGGCTCCTGGCGGAAGTGAGTGATCTCCCTCTGTATCTCTGTGGTCTTCGATGCCGGATAATACCGGTGCACGAACTTGTCAGCCAGATCGTCCCAAGAGGTGATGGACAATGGGGGCTGGGTCTCCAACCACCTCTTAGCATTCCCCGCCAGAGAATGGGGAAAAAGGTGAAGGCGGATTGCATCATCTGGAACACCATTCAGCTTGAACCCGTTCGTCAGCTGCAGAAAACGGGACAGGTGTACCCGGGCTTCCTCATCCTTCAAGCCATGGAACTGGATAGAGGTGGTGATGAGTTGAATCCAGCATGGCTTGATCTCGAAGTTGTTTGCAGGAATGGGCGGATAGAGGATGACCGGGCGGATGTCAGCAATCCGTGGAGTATAGAAGTACTCCAAGGTGGGACCCGGTGGTGGCGGATGATGATGGTTCCCAGGTCCCGGGGGGTTTTGGTCGTTCCCCAGGATCTGGTTGTGAGGAGGCGGGTTCTGATCGCCTTCCATCTCGTGCTCGTCCTCGGAGTCGCTGGTCAATTGGCCGTCTCGGCGCTCCACCGTAGCCAGTCTAGCTCGCTGTTGTCTCCGAAGTTGTTTGCAGGTGCGCTCAATCTCAGGATTCAACGGCAGTAAACTTCCCGACTGGCTACGGGTCATGCACTATCTGCACACAATCAAACAAAGCAAACCCCGTGAAGGCACAAGTGGGAAAGACAAAACTCAATGCAAAAATGAAAATGCCAAAGTAACAGAAATCACTTTTCTTCAACAACCTAGCCGTTCCCCGGCAACGGCGCCAAAAACTTGACTCACTCCTACTGTCACCCTAGAAAATGGCCAAGTATAACCACTTCCTAAAGCGTAGTATAGCGGGTCGGGTTTTAATGTCAACCCGGGTCCTAGATGTGATGACTACTCGGTGAATTCTTGTTATTTAGCAGTGAACTTTTAGTGAAACTCAAGCAAACAAAACACAAAGCAAGTAAACGGTTTGTTGTCAAGTCAAGAGAGGTCACCCGGATATGGTTTCCCCCTAGACTGCAGTTAAGTCGGATTGCAATTTACCAAGTTCAGTTTTCATGAAAGTTATACTGCGGAAGGTTCTCAATTAGCCTGAAGTCTCGACTAAAGGTCTCCAGACCCTCTCAATCTGAGTCTCTAGCGGGCGACTAACCTCCACCGGAGTAAACAGATTGAGGCCCTAATGAGCCAAACCTCCACTACCGAATCGACTTCGGTACAGAATAGCGAATTGGCTCCTCGACTAAAGTCACCAATTCGCTACCTTCGATTAAGGGTACTCTATCAACCTAGGCAGATATTCTCATTCCAGGTTAAAGCAGAAACAACAGGAATTTGATCAGGATTCAAGTCATTCAATCAATCAAACCTCAATCGAATATAATCAGTTCACAAACACTGTACTTGGGTTCATACAATCAGACCTAGCATACAAATCTAGGGTTCTCCATACCCAGATGAATGGGGAAACTACTCCATAGAGAAAGAAGCAAAAGCAGATTCAGACACGGAAATCATACTGTGAAGTTGGATTCCTGCTTCTGGACGTTTAATCGCACTTCTCCAAGCTCAAGACGGGCTCCAATGGTGTTGAAGATTGATCTATGGCGCTTGAGAACTCTGGTTCGACGCTTTCTCTCTCTAGGTATCGGTTTCTCTCTCAAAAACTCGGAACCCTTCAATGTTGGCCTTCTTCTCTCTTAAATCCTCTGCCTGGTCGCGATACCCGGTCAAAATACCCGGTCGGGTATTTTGGGTTCTGACCGGGTATCTCTGCAACGCCCCGTTTCACTAAAGAGGGAAATACCCGGTCCAACACCAAAATCCCCGACCGGGGATTTAACTGCTGTGCCCGGGCCCCTCTCTGTTTCTCGGGCGCCCAACCTTGGTTAATACCCGGTCGGGTATTTGGCCACCTGACCGGGTATTTTGCTCCTTCAGCCCTATTCGTCCCAACCTTGCTCCTTTCGACCCAGAACTCGTTTCTCCGCCTCGATTCCAACGCCGGGACCTGAAATATGACATAAACACACAACCTAGCGTGAAATCGGCTTAAACCACGAGATTCCTCGTCGCAAACGGCCTCAGAATAGGGGTAAAAACATGTATAATTATCGATCTATCAGTCCCTCAGAGTTTCAACAAGAGGTATTATTCTGTTAATGAATGTTTTGAACTATGTTTGGATGATTCACTGTTTCCTAACTAGTTGATGCCTAGCTTCTATTGTCAATATACAATAGAACTAGGAGCTTCTTAGATCACTACTATATGTTTAGGAGTTCAAAATGTCTGCAGTTTTACTCTCTAAAGGGTGTAACTGAGTTTTAATATGATATCTACTCAGTGTATCTGTTGGTTATATTCATCATCAGGTGGATATATTGAGCAAGATGAGGCACCCAAATCTTGTCACCCTGATTGGAGCCTGTCCTGAAGCCTGGACTCTTGTATATGAGTTTCTTCCGAATGGAAGCCTTGAAGATAGACTGAGCTGCAGGGACAACTCTCCTCCTTTATCTTGGCAAACTCGTATCCGCATAGTCACCGAGCTATGCTCTGTTCTCATATTTCTTCACTCAAGCAAACCACATAGCATTGTTCATGGTGATCTGAAACCCGCAAATATTCTCTTAGATGCTAACTTGGTTTGCAAGCTAAGTGACTTTGGGATCGCCCGGTTACTTCATCAAGATGAAGATTCCAGTGGCAGAGAAATGATGCTTCACAGGACTGCTCCAAAGGGTACTTTTGCTTATATGGATCCCGAGTTTCTTGCCTCCGGGGAGCTCACTCCCAAGTCCGATCTTTATTCCTTTGGGATAATACTTTTATGTTTGTTGACTGGGAGGTCGCCTTTGGGTTTAACCAAAGAAGTGCAAGATGCATTAAACAAAGGCAACTTGAAATCTCTACTAGATCCTTTGGCAGGGGACTGGCCCTTTGTGCAAGCCGAACAGTTGGCTCGTTTGGCACTACGCTGCTGCGAGTTAAACCGGGAAAACCGGCCAGATCTTGCATCAGAGGTATGGAGGGTGCTCGAACCTTTGAAGGCATCATGTGGAGGGCCATCAAGTTTCCGGGCTGGATCAGAAGAACCATGCCAGCCTCCTTTGTACTTCATATGCCCCATTTTCCTGGTAAATGAAATATGAAAATGATGTTTCTCGAACTCCGAAGTAGCATTTTATGTTAAATGCTTAATCATAGGACATATTCCTGCATGTTAATCGGCGTTTAAAAAATGCAGGAAGTTATGAGGGATCCACATGTAGCAGCCGATGGATTTACATATGAAGCAGAAGCATTTAGAGGATGGCTGGACAGTGGACATGAGACGTCCCCGATGACCAATATGAAGCTTGAGCATTCCAATCTCGTCCCCAACCGGGCACTGCGTTCTGCGATTCAGGAGTGGCTTCAACAGCAACAAAGCAGCATCACTTGATTTTCCCTTTTGAGCAATGCATCTGTTAATGTCACTATGTTTGCAAGGTAAAAGCTTACCCAAAAGATAGAAGAACCATCGTGTATGTTCGCTCCTCCGACTTGTCCTTGGGAGGAGAACTATCAGTATCAGTAGAAAAGCAGAGATCCTCACTTTCCATTTCTGTATTGTAGATGGAGATCGTGGAACTACTGTTTGCTTGTAGAGAAACGTACATTACCGTTGTTTGTACATATGCACACAGATATACATACATTATATAAACATAGCATCTTTGCTTTCTGTATTAGATGCAAGATGTACGCATTACGTATTAGAACTGATAACATAATTTGAGATCAATTAGCAGGATGAAGATTGAAAAGGTACTGCCTACCTACTATCACCAACGGCTTGAGTTCCAGTCTTTAAGCCTCATTCATTAAAGATAATCTCTAATCCTTAAGTCTCATTCTTTAAAGAGAATCTTAAAACCTTCGTATTGGCTGCTGGGATTTACGGAGTTAGTGGTTAAGTAGTTATTAAAGATATTTAGTGAATTATAATTAATTTAAAAATATCCTAATTAAAACTTCACATTTTTTTCGAAGCCTTGAAATGTTGCACTCACCGTTTCTCTTATAGGTTGTAGAGTGACACTATGTGCTGATTGAGTCATCCCAACTGATTCCTAGATATGTTGGAGGCAGTCGATGTGCCCGCTTTTCTCCCCGCTTTGGGGAAATTTGTATTGTTTTTGGATGGTATTGCATCTAATGGAACCCAAGGGGTTCGAGGTTGGGTTTTGCAGGATCCTTCAAGCTTTGTGGTGGCAATTGCTGCGAATTTTTGTATGTGGGCATCACAAACTCTTTTCTTGTGGAGCTGCTCGCTCCCTGTGATACGGTTCGGTGATGCCTGACTAGGGGGATAAAGCCTGTGGTCTTTGTGGGTGATACAAAGACGGTGTTGGATGAGGTGCGGGTGAGACGGTTGCTTGATGCTCGTGGGGCGTGGCGTTGGATTAGATTTTAGCTCCAAGGAGTGATTTTGCGCATTTTGAAGTCCACTTTACTGTCCGCTTGGTGACAAGAAATATCCTTTCTTTGTTTCTTCGCGAGAGTTTGATTTTATTTATTGATTTTTTTTTTAAAAGGAGAAATTTTCCATTTCGAAAATCTAATGACGTGTAAGATATTTCTTCATATTTACATCGGATTGTTTTCTCTAAATGAATGGAATCCAGGTTTCTATTAAAAAAAAATATATATTTACATCGGATTGGATAAGGAGGATGAAGACAAATCATGGAATCCTAAGAAATAGTAATGAACGAATATAAATAATAATATAAAAAAACAGGACTGGACAGTCATTATAGATTGAGGTACATTTCTGTCCTAATCCTAAACTGTACGATTCGCTCCATCAAAATAAAAGAAAAAAGAAACAAAAAGAAACGAGGCCGTACACCATTATCCCACGCGAGCTTCCAGCGCGTGGGTATAGAAAAAATCTACTGGCTGCCTTTGGGACGAAGAAGTCGTTAAAAAGAGGGGAAAGATGAAAAAACCAGTTCACACCTCCAGTACAGTAAAAGTAACGGACACCACACGGCGGTTTTGTCATGTCATGTTCATTTTTTTTTTTTTTCTTATTATTATTAAGGGAAATGAAAAAGAAAATTCTCCTTCTTGTTCTCTAACTTAACAAAAGAAAATACAGAGACTTGAGGGTTCTTGGTAACTTCTGCCCTGTCCCCTTCGCCTTCTTCTGTCTCCCACTTCACATTTCTTCTTCTTCCTGTCTCCGTTGATTTGTTCAGAGAGAGAAAAAAGTTCCCAATTTCTTTCAGAACCCTAGACGACATCAACATGGAGGGAGCTCTGTGGAAGGAGCTTCTGGGTTTTCAATTTCCCGTGGGAAAGTTCAAATCTTTGTGGTTATTTGTGGCTTTCTTGACTTTGAGCCCCGGCTTTGGTTCAGCTGGAGACATAGTACATCCGGACGCTAAGGCTCCCAGTAAGCCTGGCTGCGACAACAGCTTTGTACTGGTAAGCAAATCGAGCTCAGTTCCCCTGATTGATTTCTTTTGTACTAGTATTATCCCCTTCTGATTACTTCAATTCCTTGTTCTTCGCTTTGTTCTGTTTTTTCTACCTCTTGTTTGGAAATTGGAGGGAAAGCATAGATGAGAAGGTTTTATCTGGGGGAGACTTTTTGTAGGGAGGGTTATTTCATCTTTGCTATGTATTGATTTATTTTATTTCTCTCCTGGAAACACAATCGCATAAAAGGAAAGAGCTTTAAATGGATGTGGCTGATACTTAAATTCAATGAAACTATCTCGATCCAGCAACTGCTGTGGTGCCTTGCCTCCTGTTTTCCTGCTACGTGGGAAATGAATTGAAATCATCTAGGTCGAGTTGTGTTCCCAGCATGATGGCTTCTAGATAAAGTTTGGTTTTGGAATTTGGGTAGAAATCTAAATCCTCTTTTTGCTGTTTTAGAAGTTTAGGTTCAATTCTTGGGGGCAGTTTACATTTCTTTCGAGGTACTCAATACTCTATTGGAACTTGGAAAGAAATTATACATGGGAACCAGAAAAGTGGGCAGTAATGTTGTTGTTCCAGCTGGTTTCGAAGTTTAGGTTGAGGTTGGCTGGAATTAAGTTGGCCTACCGTTTGAAGGTGCTGAGCAACTTCAGCTGCCTCTTGCTAAGCGCGGATGAGTTCTGAGATGAACCCTCTTCCCCTTTCTTGGAATGCTGAATGTTTTCATCTTTTGGTTATTTATGTGACCTTGTTGTACTTACTTTTGTAGGTGAAAATCCCCACTTGGGTTGATGGGGTTGAAGACACAGAGTACGTTGGTGTCGGTGCTCGCTTTGGCCCAACATTAGAATCAAAAGAAAAACATGCAAATAAATCTAGGCTTGCTTTGGCTGACCCTCCTGACTGTTGCAGCACACCCAAGAATCAGGTTTAGAATTTTTGAATATACTTGATGCTTAATCCTGATGTCCTGAATTCAAATGTTATTATTTCATGATACATCTCTATTCTGCTGTTAGTTGAAGAAATTTGTTTCTGCTCGGTTGATGTCATTGTAATTTGGACTATCTGTTCTCTTGGTAGCTCACAGGGGAGATCATTATGGTGCACCGTGGAAACTGCAGCTTCACAACTAAGTCTAATATAGCTGAGGCTGCTGGTGCTTCTGCTATTCTAATTATAAACAATCGAACGGGTAAAATTTTATTCTATCCATGCCGATCTATCAACTTTCGCCCTCATTTACATCCTATACGCCCATGATACACAACTTTAAATGGAGACCTGGGATGATCAATTAGGCCATGGAATAATTTATTTCTGGCATGTCATTACACTGGTGTTGGGAAATCGTCAGAATGTTGCTTCATTCAGGTCAAGTTCAAAAGTCATTTCTATGTTCTGCAGTCATGTTATTCACTTGCACTGGCCATGTTTTTCTTAGCTATGGATTCCTATAGAGATATTGGGTATTGCTTCTCATTATTCCAGGTCTTTGGAAGTGTCTAGATAGGAGAACTAATAATATTCGTGAAACACATCAAATACTGGCATTTTCCACCATGTAGGCACAAACTGCAGCTTGATGATATGGGATATTCTGTTCAAATATGAATTTGTATTTATATTATTGTACATACTCTGATACTAGCATCAGCATAGTGACTGTCAGTCATTGTCAATTGATCTCCATGGTGTCCGCTTGATTAATCTTGTGGGCTTGTTTGCAGAGCTTTTCAAGATGGTTTGTGAAGAGAATGAAACTGATTTAGATATAGGAATCCCAGCTGTCATGCTTCCACAGGATGCGGGAACAACCTTGGAAAATTATATGAGCAGCAACGCCACAGGTATTACTTATTGCACCAGATCAAAATTGAATGTGCTTCTTCGTATAAGTCCAGTCTTCACTTAACTTAATGGTGGCTTTCCTCAGTTCTTCTGCAGCTTTATTCCCCTAAACGTCCATTAGTTGATGTTGCGGAAGTGTTTTTGTGGCTTATGGCTGTCGGCACCATTTTATGTGCTTCTTACTGGTCTGCCTGGACTGCAAGGGAGGCAGCAATAGAGCAAGACAAGCTCTTAAAGGTGAGATCATTTTGAATTTGAATCTGAAAATTTTGGATTCGTTACCATTTTTGCTGAATCAATGAAATTTGTCTCAAAGTCATAGTCAGTGTCTGTCATTCTCACAGGATGGTCTAGACGTACATCAGGAAGATGTTTGCGCTAGCAAAATAGTTAACATCAATGTCACCTCTGCGGTTCTCTTTGTTGTGGCTGCTTCATGCTTCTTGATTATGCTCTACAAGCTTATGTCATTCTGGTTTATTGAAGTTTTAGTAGTTCTCTTCTGCATCGGTGGCGTTGAGGTCAGTACAAGTTTTTTTCTTTTCTTCTTTTCTGTCTTCCGTTTAATGCTCTTTTTTTTCCAACTTTGTAATGCAGCAGTAGAGAACATTCTTCTAACCTTTCCTTAGCCGTGAGAATTAGTTTGCATTGTGATGTTGGTTTCCAATGTAAAGATGTTGACCTTGAAAAATTTTGTGCTTACAGGGTTTGCAGACCTGCCTGGTTGCTCTGTTATCATGGTATGCCCAAATCTTTAGTTTTGTGAAAATGCCCTTTAACAATTATAGATGACTCTGAGCAAAGCTGTTGCGTGCATTCTCTCATTGTATGAATTATTTGCTTTCAGATTCAAATCATGGTAGTTCTCTACTATAACTTGCATTGTCCTAGATGTTAAGGGTGGAAAGAGTTCAGCAATTCTAACTGTTTTTCCTCCAGTCATCCAAGTGTGCAAACAAAGTCCATGACTAACAAAATGTATCAAACCCCACTATATGCTACTCTTTGTTTGCCACAAACTCAAATGTTAGAACACTAAGACTATCTCCATACTCTTAATTGTTGATGATGTGATACTAACATTTCGAATGGGCAAAAGGGAACTATGTTGAGAGTCTACCTTACATATTTTGTCATTTTCTTGTAACATGCTGACACATGGTGACTACAGTTTCAGATGGTTTCAACATGCTGCTGACTCATCTGTTAACGTCCCCTTCTTTGGAGCTGTCTCGTATCTGACATTAATTGTCGCTCCCTTCTGCATAGCATTCACTGTTGTTTGGGCAGTTTATCGCCGAATTTCATTTGCTTGGATAGGTCAAGATATCCTTGTAAGTAACACTTCAGCCGCTATTGTTTTTATATATTATTTTGTATATTCTTTTATGTGTAACTAGTGTTAAACATTTTCTTTTCTGCATCAATCAGGGTATTGCACTGATCATTACAGTTCATCAGATTGTCCATGTACCAAATCTGAAGGTGATTTCGAAGCTGAATCCTGATTGTTGGTTTAGTAGCATGTTTGTGCAATAGTAATGTTCTGTCGAGGTTCAAGTAATTTTTTGCTCTTTCCTGAATGGCTGTGCTCATTAAGTCCTATGGTATTGCTGTCTACAATCAGGTTGGTACAGTTCTTCTCAGTTGTGCCTTCCTATACGACATCTTCTGGGTATTTGTTTCCAAATACTGGTTCGACGAGAGTGTCATGATAGTGGTAAGTACTCTCAAGTTACCTGTTGTATGATAGTTACGGTTCATAAATTGTTGGTTCTGGACTAGAAAATGATCTAATCCGTCGTCTCTTTCTGCCCGCTTTTCATCAGGTAGCTCGTGGTGATGGGAGTGGGGAGGACGGCATACCAATGTTACTGAAAATTCCTAGGATGTTTGATCCCTGGGGTGGATATAGCATCATTGGCTTCGGTGACATCATCTTACCCGGACTGGTCGTTGCTTTTTCCTTGAGGTGAAACAAAGAACCCATTTTGCCTTAAATATTTTCCTTATCTGAAGGCTCCATTTGTTCCATTGGAGAAATGGTCAGCTGAAGGAGATAGATAGCGCAAATGGTTGGTAAGTCTAATGGTATAATGGTCAACCCTTTTTTCAGATACGACTGGCTGGCGAAGAAGACTCTTAAAGCCGGATACTTTGTATGGGCAATGACTGCATATGGCTTAGGTACAACGCACATAACCAAAAAGCAAGCAAGCCAGCTGATGATGCATTGTTTTCTGTTCATTATTATTATTATTATGGCATTAAAGAGGGAGAGGGCACATTCTCTTCCTACATGTGCATGGTTCCTGACGTCAATTTGAAGGCTCTGACTATTGCAGTCATCCCTTATTCTGATATGGACCCAAGTACTAAGCAACGTGTTCTTTCTTTGTTGTGAATTGCAGGTCTCTTCGTCACGTACGTAGCTCTGAACATGATGGATGGGCATGGCCAGCCAGCACTTCTTTACATTGTTCCTTTCACGCTAGGTAAAAGCACTTGTTTAGCTCGGAGCCTAGCGCGACTAGGTTATCGTCAAATCCTCCATGTTTGTTTTCTCTGCGTTCATTCATTGTTAATGCTGGTGATGATCTGAAATGGCAGGAACGTTTCTGGCACTGGGGAAGAAGAGAGGAGATTTGAAGATATTATGGACAAGAGGGGAACCAGAGAGGCCTTGTCCACACCTCCAACTTCAATCCTCTCAACTGCTACACCAACAATAATTAATAATTATCATGTTATGATATATTAATAAAAAAAATACCAGTCCTTTACTTACCCTCCCATACACTTTTTTAGTAGAAGCTTCAATTCTATAAAAAAATCTGTAAGTAGAAGCAAAAAGAAAGTTTTACGGTTTTCTTTACCCCGTTTGGTCATGGGCTCTTTTGGGAATCTTTTGTAAGCTGTAGAGAGGAGAAGAAAGCTTGTAATATTTGTAGCTTAGCAGGAACCGTGACAAAGGCTGTAGTGTAGAAAGAGAACTTTAAATTTGTAGCATAACTAGCTAGAAGAAGCAAACTTTAATCGTTTCCGGGGGTCCGTTTTCTTTGTGAGATAATTCGAACTTACTGAAGTTTATATTTGCCTTGTGGCCAACTGAGCAGCTTTTTGCATGGCATCAAAGGGATCTGCTCTGGAATCTGGATCAGGTAGCTCTTTCCGAGCACAAGAATTGTGATCCGACGAGACGAATTTAATCGGCGTGTGGTTTAGGGGTCGTCGCCTCGTCGGTATGGTACATTTTCAAGGATACGAAACAAAGGTTGGTGAAGAGATCGGCATACAGCAGAGAGCTATTGAGGGAACGAGTGGTCTGGTCTCCCTGGATCAGTTGGAACTTGGATCATCAGAAAGAAAGTTCATTTCTATTGAAGGGCAACACCAAACCTACAACCGAAATCTCAGATTACAATAAAATCCCCCCCTAAAAATTTTCAATGAGAGGAAGAAAAACAAAGGACAAGAAAGAGGGTCTAATCTATCTACCCTTTTACTGTACGAAGTCACCTGAAAATTGTTTTTCTTAACAAAGCCGGCTGCTTGGGCTGAACCAAAGAAACCTGATCAATCATCATCTTATCTCTCAAGCTTTTATTGCTCCCTGTGAGAAGTACAAGTAGTTTTTTTTCTTTCTTTAAATCTGCCTCAACGGTCAAAAATTAAGCACATTCTTCTTTTCTTTCCCCATCATCCTCTGGTTCATCTTTCCTTCACCAGAGAAATTAAAAAAAAAGAATAAAAAAATCATCACAACCTGAAATTTTGATTCTCTCAGGAATTTGCTTGCACAGGGATCCCTATCCAGCTTCAGCCCACATTAAGATATGACAAACAACCAGCTCCTCTCGGCACTCGGCACCATTGGGTACGACATCTAGCCCGCACCGTCTTTCTTTCGTCAAAATTGGTCCAGTCATTTGCCCGACTGAGGAGGAAGCAATAGCAGCAGCAGTTACCATTGAATCTCATTTTTGCTCTTCATCTGCTCATCCCCACCCAATAACATACTTTCAGTTACTTCACTTCTCAACCATCGATCTCCTAGACGGGTTTCAAAACGGTAAAAAAGAAGGAATAAATTCATCTGACAAGTGCAAAAGAGATACAGAGCACATACTTTGGTGTTTTCTCAAGCTACCATTGCCATTAATGGAAAAGTGAACAGGGCTCTTCTCTTGACCCAAAGACAGAAGCTCCTGCATCCTTTCAGGCCAGTCTGAATTCAATCTCCTCGCAAAATCTTCCACCTCCCTGAATGGAAGGTGTGCAGACATGAGAATCCCACGAAGCACAAACAGTACATAGATGCAGGGGGACAAGCACCAAAGGGAAAACACACCATTCTGATATCACAACACATAAAATAGTACAAAGGAACATGCAACAGTATTCAATCACTCCTGCAACATCACAGAAATATTTGTGATGTAGCCATACTGGTATGGATAGATGATTGGATGACACTATACTGAGGTCCATAAACCCTACAAAGCCAAACTCATCCAACACTAAGAGCTGCGACCTGCAAAATTCAAATGATTAATGCCTGCAACAGTTGCATCATTTCAACTTTCAGGAGTTTTGGAGGGGGACCTATCCTAAACAGGGTTTATAGATGCAAAATTGAAATCATCCAATTCCAACTCAACCAATACCAACACAACTGAAAAGGGTAGATCAGCTCCACAGCATCAGCAATTTTCATGACATGCATCACAACATAATGAGTAAGAACTAATTGAACTGAAATTCTGAAAAGCTCACCTATCAATTTCCTCCTTTAATGCGGGATCAATCTCATCATCAATATCAACATCGTCAAGCTCCACTTTATGATAAAAAATGTCATCTTCTACATCTTGCAATTTCGATGTTTCGCTCAGTGTAGAATGTGATTCATTATCACCCCCAGTGCCTAAACAACCCAACCCATTTGAACCCTACACAAGTAGAATCATAAAACCAAGATTCTTTTTATGATTCTTTCATGGTACGCAGGCTAGAAATCAGAAGAGTAACCAAAGATGTAAAGGCTCCAACCTTTTTAGGCGATTCAGTAGCATGGTCAATGGAAGTGCTCTTTTGAGGATCCTTTCTCCGGCGATTTTTCTTTTTGTTTTTTGAAGTTGCAACTCCTTTGGAATCTGGAAAACCATACAACCAAATGAGGATGTGCAAATGATATAGAGTTCAGGGTACAAGATCGAAATAAAAGTAAATATGCTTGCTGGAAACAGTTGTCTTAGTCTATCTGAAAAGAAAGAATAAATGCAACTACTGAGTGCAAAAATAGAGCTACTTTATACAGAAACTACTGACACGAACCCTTTGTCGCGTTCCTTGAGTTTGTAACGCATATCAACTAAGGCTGCAGTTAAGGTATCCTCAACTTCACTTTGCTATGAGTTATTTTAATTGAACTGATTTAGAGGAGGTATTAAAGGCATGAGGTATGGCCAACGAATCCCACTCAACCAGAATTACAATAGATAGATCACCAAAAAACTACAGGACGCACCGAGTAAATTATGTTTATATCACTATCTCACTTCTCAAACACATCTATAAAACAAATTCCACAATTTTCCTTCGCTATAAATTTGTTCAAATCATTGTTACGAGCAAACACAAACAGTCACCTATCATATTATGAAACCATATGGAACCAATTGTTTGCTATAATCTTTTTTCCAAAATTGTAGAGTTGGCTAGCAGCAGATTATTCGTCGATGCTCCACATCCAGCAACTCAATTATGCTATTTTTGGAAATCACTTAAACCAAATATCCCCTCCCCTATAGTATTTTCTAACTGTAGTTGATTCAGTGTTCCCTTTCACCTATATAGAGTTGAAACCTTTTCCATAAAACCAAATCACTTTCCTATATTGTTTTTTTTTTTAATTGTTGATTCGGTCTTCCCTTTCACCTACATAGAGTCGAAACCTTTTCCATAAACAGCCAGGGTAAACTAATACAGGGGACAACCAGTAAAAGCATAAATTAGTATAAGTAACAATTTCCCTCCATGCAACACAACGCAACCAATAAATCTGAGTGTTGCTTAAACTTTTTAGGATGACAACCCAAGTACTTATCTTCAGAGAATATAGCAAGAAGATTACATCAGGCACTCTAAGGTATGATCTCATGAAAATTTCAAGCACGAATTTTAAGTTCCTGATTGATAGAGAAAAATTAAGAGAAAAGATAAAAGTTCAATGCTACTTATAGGTTGCCTTGCCAACTGCACCTGCGTTTTCTCCATTAATAAATGACAAGAGGTCATCAACTGATCGCTCATCTACACGCTCTTCTTCCACCTCGATGTTCTGCAAAAAGGAGACACTTCTCTATCATCGACAATAAAGTCAATTCTAGCATACCACATGCATCAATATAAACACTATAAATTCACATCAAATGGTAGACCCTTGACAATGCAAAGCACTGGAAACTGATAGGGTGGATACACTACAGCAGCATGCAGAGCAAAGTTTCACCTTTTGTTTCTGCCTTTCTTTTAGCTCTTTCCTCTTCTTTGCATACAATCTATTCAAAAGTCGAATCCGGGGATCATCAGTTGTGTTTTTCAAAGGCTCCAACTTCTCTTCCTAAAGAAATAAGATCAGTACTAAAATAACAAAACGGGGAACTAAAGGGTGATATAATATATTAAATTTGACAAGAAACTTTCAGAAAGCACCAGACACCTCGGTCAGATCATCTGGCAAATGAAATATCTCGCGTATCTCCTCGGGGGTTTTCCCTTCAATAATCCGTGCCAAGGCTCGGCTAGTTAGATCAACCAAAGGCTTAAGCTGGAGGCTATCAGCAGCTGATGTCAACTCACAAAGCCTTTTTGTATCCATTCGAATGAACTTTTCATCAAAACTTTTCCGTTCCTAAGCAAAAGCAATGTCGCCAAAGTTCCAATAGAGGTTTAGTAAATGATGACAATTGGTACTATAATTCCACAGTGTGACCAGTTTATAATATTTCAGAAGCCAAATTGCGATAGAAGCAACAAAACAAGGCCAGAGAAACAGTAGATAACCAACCTTATTGGAGCGACCCGGTACTTGATGAAACCTACAGTAGTCAAGAATCAGACTCAACATGGCAGGACTGACGCGTTGTGGAAGAGATATGGCATAGTTCTTCGATGATCCCATGCCCTTCTGTATTATTTCGTGGCATATCATGGGACAAAACATGGCAACCTCTTGTTCCACTTGTTGAATCGAACCATCAGCAGTTTGAAGCCAAATATATGACTTCATCATCTGTAAAATCCAGAGCAAAGCACCACAAGTTGAGATCACAGTCAACTATCAATCAAATCTGTTCACCGAAAAAAGATACAAGATTTCAGACGAGTCCTATAGAACAATATAAAGTAGGTGTTCCAAACACAATACCAGAACACCGATGCAATAAAAAGATAAGATTCATGGTTATACCCACTGTACATATGAAACAGTAGCGGACATGGTGAAATTTTTAGGCACAAGATGGCATTAATGCAGCTCAAACAAAAAAATCGAGACACAAAGCAATACGATAAATAGCCAAATGCCCAAACACACATTTAGAAGTCCAAGCCCACTCAAATAAATAAACAATTACAAGTTCGAAAATGAATTGTTTGCCTGTTCAAAAAGATCCCAGTAGCTTCCTTGGAATAACTGACAGAAAAGTAGCAAAAGCATACCTCTGGTTTGATGACTGCCATGTCAACTTCTGACATTTGAGAATAATGTTTAAATACCGAGATGAAAATTGAATGACCTCTGCTGCTAAAAGCTTAAGGCAAGGTACACGCCACACTCAATAGACACATACAGCTCCAACAAATGGCAGGCTCATCCCCTCTGAATCCAATAAGTAGCCAAAACGTCATTCAACTAAGCGAACTCCACAGTGATTGTTAGTTTTTTTTAAGTATTCCCTGTAAAGGTGTATACAAGATAAAAAGGCAACACAGAACATTAGTGGGATAGCACAAAAAAAAAAAAAATCATGCACAATATGCACCCATGAGAATGCAGCGTAGATAGTTAAAGAAGTAAATGCTCCAACAGATTGTAGCACAGCACATTCCTTCTACAATTAATCAGAGTAGCAGCACTCTATGGAACCTAGATATATGGGTACATCATCCAAACATGTACTAAAAAGCACAAGCCAACAACTTTCAATTCAATGCTATACAGGTTCCCAATTCAACAAAGCTCACAGTCCAAAACAAGAGTTAAGGAAATAGAATTTTAGCAAAGACAAGTTCAATTCCTAATTATGATTTCAGCCATGCCAGAGCATAAGAAGATGTTAAACTTGAACCTTGGAGGAACTCAACCACAGCTCTTTGTAACTTTTTCCTCATAAGGAATATGAATAAAGAACCTCAGAGGAAGCTCCATCCTCCCTACTACACCCTCGGCTTTATTGTTATCTTCCTAGCAGCAAGTATCTCAATGAACTCGATATATAATCCAAAGAAGCTAACATCCTTTCAGTACTAGTTGATGGATTTATGCCAGCTTTAAGAGTGACATTGCATGAAGAGATATGATTCGACTTAGTACAACTCAGGCCATAGTTTGAGTCAGTCTGAAACCCAGCCAACATTTCTACCCATTTTTGCACAAAAATACACCGTCCCACTAGTCAGTTGGCTAGACCACCTCTGCTGTGACACTCTCTAACTTCAAATTCGACAACTTCTGCGAATATTAAAAAAAAAAAAAAAAATTCGACAACATCTGCATTACCAACGGCTTATTTCAAAGACTGAATCATTGCAGCATACCAACAATTCAAAACTCTAATGTAAATCCAGTAGCGTAATCAATCAAAATGGGTGGCAGAAAGCAGCATGTTGACATAACCGCGCCACCATCAGAAATGTTAGTTTCCCATTAGCTACACGAACGGAAGAGGGGAAGCAATACCCAGCTAGCAAATTAGATAAAAATCGCAAGTGGAGAGGGGCGCCATCTGACCTAACCCTAAAGAGAACGAATTTGAGGGGGGCGGGGTGGGGGAACTAAGTAGAAGGGCTCACTCCACAACGAAAAGAAGGCAACATGAAATGTAAAGTTAAGCAGAAACTCCCCAATTGATCGAAGACATGAGAATCAAATTAGTAGTTGATTGTAATGCAATCCAATTGGTACAAAGCAGGCATTCAATTCCAGGGGTTTAGAAGCAAGGGCATGAACCAAGCGCCGCCACTCCCCCACGGATAGGGCCCCGCCCGAAAAGAAATGCCGGGTCTGGTGTTAATGGAGAGAAAAGAAAAATACGAACCTGATGAGGTAAGGAGACAGGAATAACGGACTGTAACTGGAGGAGAGGGTTGGGAAAAATTTAAACAAAGAGATGAGGAAGCAGATGGGCAGCTAGATAGAGAGACGGAGGGCTTTGAATTGCAGAGGGATTTGGCGGTTGTCGGCGAAGACAGGCAAAGCTTAGCAAAGCAAAGCAGAGCAGAGCAAGCACGGATAAATGAGAGAGAGAAAGGGCCGGGTTCATAGATGTGAGATGAAATTGGGATTTTCCCCAATTTTTAGGTTAACAGAGGGAGAGAGAGAGGGAAAGTAAAATAATATGGGGAAATGACAACAGTATGTTATCCTGTCTACTGAAAAGAGAACACTGTAAAAAAAGTGAAACCAGGAACAGGAAGGATCGAAGATAGGCGGAGGAGAGGAACCGAAGAAAGCCCGCTACTGCGCCCCCCGAGCTCTAGGGCTGGCTCCCGCTGCTGCCCTGCGGGCCCGTCCTTGCTCACTCGAGCGAAACTAGAAATCCGAATGAGAAAGATTAAAATAATTCGTATTATTGTGAAATCCTAATCTTTCTGTATTATATTTTTCTAAGTCGCAGTTCATGTTAGGTTGTCCAAATTGATGTCTACGACTTTCACTTCGATTGGATATTGCACGAAGTAGGGTACCCATCCTGTCATTACAAATTTGACCATGATTATTGGATACAACAATACCATGAACCGCCTCCTGAGAATCGTTTAAGAACGATCAATCATGGTGAATCTCAACAGAGAGATTGCTTGGCAGTGGAAAATGCTGATTACGGGGTTGATGAGCTGGTATGTTTGCTGAGGTGGATGTTTGGCGAGGGCGGGTGCAAGTGGACCATTCCAGCAGATCACTAGACGCATTGGTGTATGTGCCTGGTGGCTAGGGGACAACATTGCATAATACCCTATCATTCATTGACTTCCAAATGTTCCATCATAGGTAGATGATCGGATGGATTGCTGATAATGCACAAATCATAGTGTTTGTCGCTTACCATATTTGATACATACTTTTTTCTATTGATGCAGCTTTAGTACATTTTGTAGGAATTCATAACTATATTTGACTAATGTGCTTGTAATATACCTAGGATGTGTTTTAGGAGTATCAAAGGGGGTAATTATCGAAAGATCAATGAGTAATTCGTCCAGCAAAATAAAGAGGAGCCCAATGAAGAAGTTTCAGCCCAAGCAGAGGAAAGAAACCAAGATGGGTCGGCCTCAACCCTAACCCACAAGTCGGGCTACAACCTCATGGGGAGGTTACTTGTGGGCCAAGAAGCCCAATTGAGGAGGAAAATTAACGGCGGTGTTGACCGCCAGGCGGCCACAATAGACCCAACCCAAGCCCAAAGGAAGCTTCCTGGAATATTCTTTATTAGTCCCCAAGTCAGAATCTGTGTTTTGGACATACAATGAAGCTTCCGGCAGAGTTTTAGTAGGAAAATCCTAAAAACCCCTTAACCTATGTACTATAAATAGAGGGTCATGTTATAGAATTTCATGCACTGCAAACATTTACATAATTTAAGCTGCAAGTACTTGAGCAAGGAGCCACTCAGCTCAAGTAGAGTTCAAAATATCATGCATAGGGGAGGTGCAATTAAGGAGATGCATTCATCATTGATGGTGGTACCATCCTTTCTCTTATGTATAGCTGGGACAGGTTACGGTGATTACTATAAAATAGTAATCACCGTGGTTACTAAGGGCAAATTGGGTATAACAAAAAATTTATTAATGATCTTTTTTAATAAATTATATTTTAGGAAATTACATAAATATATTAAATACAATTTTTCTCTCTCTCTTTCTCTCACTTCCACAATTTTTCAGCCAGATCTCTCTTCCTTCTTTTTCTCAATCTTTCCTTGATTTCGTTCATCCAAACTAATACCGCTGCAACAACAAAACAATAAATCAATACCAATCCATTAAAAAAAATACTACCATTGGGACAGTTCATATTCGCCAGAGTATGGAAGTTTCATAGCTTTGAGGAGTGGCGTTTAACGGCGGCCGGAGTGAGTGGGTGATCGGAAGGCATGGTTTCCGTCCATCGGCGAAGTTTGAAAGAGAAGGGACGGCGCTCTGTTTTGGAGGCAGAAGAAGCCGCCTCAGACGACGGAGCTGCCGCCGACGCGAGGCGCGTTCATCCGCCTCAGACGGTGCTGGAGACGAGGGCAAAGTAGGGTTAGGGTAGAATATATAGAATAATCCAGTGTGGTCCTTTTTTCTTCCAAAATTATCCTAAAGTAATCTTAACCGTAAGATTAAAAAAAGAGGAAAGAGAAGAAAATAAATGGTGGATACTGATGTAGCCACGGTGGCTACTAGAAATTCAGTTTCCACCCTAACGCATTTCATGTATAGCTAATTCAAATTCGTTGTTAACGATGTGAATTTCTTTGAGGTTTTATATATTACTTACTATGAATTAATTAGATATTTTAGTCATTAGATGCTTTTGTCATTCAATGCTTATATCATTCGATGCTTTAATTATTTGATGCCTTAATCATTCAATGCTTAGATTATAGTATCTTGTCCAAAAGATCAATCAATTCAAGTTCTGGATAGCGTTTTCTTACTCCTGGAATGCGGTACCCCGGATTTCACCCTGGGTACCGTAGAACTCCCATATATATAAATCTTATACCCCAAGATCAATTTAATTAGAAACAATAATCGACGATCATGATTCGTCCAAATATAGGCAAAAAAATCAATCCACCATCTTAGGGTTTATAGTTTATGATTTAGATAATTAGGACCTAGGGTTCACTCGTTAAGGGTTGGGGTATAGTATCATGCCAAAAAATCCGGCTAATTCGAGGTCTAGATAGCGTTTTCGTACTTAAGGTATGCGGTACCCTATATATTATTTGTTATTATGGTGTTGTTTATAATATCATATGATAGGTTATTATGAAACTACTCTAATGTGATATGCTATTCTCTTATGCATATATGAATGAATGATCAACCATCAATGCTTGTATGAGTTCAATGCTAGATACCCTAGATCATCGATACCCAAAGAAAATGACCTTTCATCTTCTTCCCATATTGCATGGTGATCGATATGAAGATCGATGATGCGTACTCTATACTCTTCGGTTTATGTAGTTGACATCAGCATGTCCTTGTCCTCCAAAGTGTCAGCCAGTGGCGGATACATGCATGTTTAGGGGTGTCCCGGTACACCCCTTAAAATGTGGGAAAATCATTATTCAATTTCCTGTAGTAGTTTGTGTATGAGGACATATAATATTTATGTGGTAGTCTATGTGATTTGAATTTGGGACAATACTGCTACTATTAGTAAACATATTTTAATTAGACTTTGTTGTTTTGTTTTAGATCCAAATATAATAGTTAAATGCTATTTTTATCTCCAATTATTTTCAAAATCTAATGATTAAACCCAATTAATGGCTACCCTTGTCTAGTAGGATATGTCGAGAGATATTTTTTGAGAACTGTAGACACCGAATGTATTTTACCATTTTTCATAATACGAAACATGTCTGAACTTTTATTATAACTTTTATTAGTTGTATGATTATTAATTTTTATATTTTATATTCAATAATTATTTTATTTAAATTTAGTTTTGGGAAGATGACACCTCTATTTAAACTTTCTGGATCCGCTACTGGTGCCAGCAATCTTGATTGTCATGGCCTTCTTCTCCACATGTATCACACACGAACAAGAATGCTACTGGTCCATTCTTTGGTTCCACTACAACATGTTTAAGTTGTTGAAAAAAGCTCATTCATCTGCTGACGTAAGATGATATCAACTCCTCGCTGGCTTAGGTCGACTAAATGGTTTTAGCATCAATCTCTTGGAAAAATTGTTTGACTTTCTTGTAAGGGCGAAATGCTCCTGAAATTGGACTCCCATCATCTGTGTGAAGTAACCATCAACATATTGATTCACCATCATCATGGTATCTCTATCTATTCCTTTGGCGATGTACTTTGCTACTTGCTCCGGTATGAATCCTTGATGGGGATACGCCTTTTGATGCTCTTGGAATCTCCTCCAAGTGCAATAGAATGTCTCTCCATCCTTCTGTTGGAATCGAGTGATGTCGTCCTGATAACACTTAAAATAGATGTTATTTAGACCTTATTCTCGAGGCGTTTGCGTGTTAAATCACCGTGTCTAGACCACATATCAAGTTAGATTCCTATATTTGTTTCTATTTGTAAAACATTTATTTTGGCATGAGTTTGCATGATATGAAGGTTTTCATGAGGAAATCGACCCCACTTTGTCGTATTTTATGCTTTTTTAGTATTTATGATGAAATTCCAGGTCTTATATTCATCTAAGATCGATTGAAAATCAATTTCACGATCAGGGAACATAGGAGCAAGAAGGGAGCAAATCAAACAGGATACGACCCCTGATACGGCTGTATCAAAGGGAGTATTGAAGTTCATGTTGCAAAATTTGGGGTTATGGTCGCAAACTTCAGAAGGCAGCCAACATGAAGACAGAGAGTTTCACAAACTAGACTTGCAACAATGAGCAAATTGACCGTGAAAAAGATCACGACGTGACACAAAGGTCGCGATCGCGATCTCACGCTCGAGCCCGCGAACTTAGTACTTCAAGACGAAGTGAAGGCGCAACATTTCAGGCAATTAGGCATCATTTTGCATGATACTCCCTTCAATAAGCCCTTTGATATGCCCGTATCAGTTGGGATAAGGCCTCAAGGCTGTATCCTGTGTATTTTTTGTCGTACCCTACTATAAAATTCATATGTAAACCTCTTTTCTGCAATTTATGAAGGAGAGCCAACCTAGAGTGAGAAATTAGGGCTCTTGGATAGTTTAGAGAGAGAAACACCTTGAGAGAGCTTAAAAAAATGTCAAATCCATCCAAGAATTAAGGATGAAGGTGCAATCCAAGAAGAAGAAGATGATTCCATGCATTTCCCGTCTTCTTAGTTTGCACTTCCTTTCTCTCTTTATGACTTGAATCTCTATTGCTGTTTAGGAAAGATGAACCCTAGCTTATTGTTTGTGTATGGGTCATGTGTCAGCATGATTATGAACCTATTTATATATGTCTATTGATGTTTGTGCATATGAATCTTTTGCTTGATTGTGACTGGTTTGTTCTTAACTTAGGTGAGAGTTCCATCCCCTTAGGTCAAGATTAGGTTCAAATATTGAGTATAAGAACGGACATGGCACGAAAATAATATTTATTTGATAGAAAATAAATATAAAAAGAACTATAGGTTCAAATATTACAAAATACAAGTAGAAAAATAATTATTTGTTGTTGTTAGAAGTGTCATAAAGATATATACGTAATTACTAACATAGATAAAAATGGACAGAGAATTAAACAAAGTCAAATCACACTCGAAATACTTCCAATTTTCTTTCCCCCCCTCATTTGTTACTTTTCTCAAACATTATCGGTTAATACTATCTTCCACCGTCCAATTTTCACCTTCTTTTTCATTCTCTCTTTTGTTTTCGTCCTCTTCATTAAACACGAATACGAGCATGGCACGAACACGAATAAGCACGAACACGATTCGAGCCGTGCCCGGACCTGGGCTGGGCCGGTAGCAAAGTTGACAAATGGGCTTGCATGACACGACACGAAAACTGACGGGCCGTGCCAAGCACGACACGAAATAAATTGGCAGGAAGCATGCCCGTGCCGTGCCGGCCCAACGCCCATGTACATACCGGATACCTACCGGTTACGAACTATTAGGTATACCGGTATACCAACTGAGATTCGACAGTCACAACATCGATTACCCGATATACCGAATATCGGGTAATCGATAACCGATATACCAGACCGAATACCACCCTACACAAATCGTAGAAGTCGTAGCCGTGACTTCCTTTCCCTTCCCTTTCCATCCACGCAAATGCACAGGAATAATGTAGGCGATGGGGGGGTGGACATAAATATTCCTGTGGCAAGCCAACGAACTTCCATCCATCCAACCATATTAATTTGGTGGAGCCACCCCACCCTCCTCCACCTCCAATCCGGACCATTTTTTCTCATCAAATCGCCGACTCCATTTTTATTCAATTTAATTTTTTTTATTTTTACACCGACCTCATTGAATATATAGAAGACATTACACTGCCATTTCCGTCCCAACCCACTACATTTAAAACAAGGCCGTTCCCTCCCCTCCTTCCTCCCTCCATTCAGCCAGCCTCGACGAGAAAGACGAAATAGAAAGAGAAGCCAGTAGAGAGAGAGGGAGAGAGTGAGAGAGAGCATTTACACTTGTTCAAAGCAGTTGCGGTTGTCTGTCGGTGCATTTTAGAAATGCCGTCGTCGTCACCGGAACCGGCGAGTAGCCGGAAATTCCCTTCGATAAAGTCATGTACGGGGGAATCGTACGAGTCGATCGCGGCGGATCTGGACGGGACGCTGCTCTGCTCGAGCAGCTCGTTCCCTTACTTCATGCTGGTGGCGGTGGAGGCCGGCAGCCTCCTCCGTGGCTTCGTACTGCTCCTCTCCCTCCCCGCCGTCATCGTCTCCTACCTCTTCATCTCCGAGGCCCTCGGCATCCAGATCCTCATCTTCATCTCCTTCGCCGGCCTCAAGATCCGCGACATCGAGCTCGCCTCCCGCGCCGTCTTGCCCAGGTAATCAATCAATCAATCAGATATTCGTGCTGGTGGTGCTTGATTAAAATTAGTGTGAAATCAGTGAACGGCGCGATTTGAATTGAAATCGAAAAAATTGGGGGCGGAAAATTAGGTTTTACGCGGCGGATGTGAGAGGGGACAGCTACGAGGTGTTCGCGAGGTGCAAGAGGAAGGTGGTGGTGACGGCGAACCCGACGCTGATGGTGGAGCCGTTCGTGAAGGATTTCCTGGGCGGGGACAAGGTCCTTGGGACGGAGATCGAGGTGAACCCCAAGACGAAGCGAGCCACCGGATTCGTGAAGAAGCCCGGGGTTCTGGTCGGCAAGTGGAAGAAGCTCGCCGTCGTCAAGGAGTTCGGGGGAGAAGTGGTGCCGGATCTGGGCATCGGCGACCGGAAAACCGATCACGATTTCATGTCCGTTTGCAAGGTACGCGCACGCCATGATTGTGATTTTGAAATCCGGTGTTTGCTTGTTTTGGTTTGATAATAAATCCTTTCCCGCGCTATAATTTGATAGCTATATTAGGGTAGAAATAGGGCGTTTGACTTTTAGGAGGCGAAATCTATAATTAAATAATGATAAATAAATTGGTTGCGCTGCTTAGCAGCTACTACTGCCGTCCAGCGCGGTGCATTAAACATGAATGAAGAGTGATTACGGAGAGAGAAACATAACGTCGACTTTGTTGTTTTTGAGTAGCTAGAGGAGAGAGAGAGAGAGAGGGATTTGAATTTTGATTGGTTTATGATTTCCAGCATTCTTGAGGGGGCCCAGTCTTAAACCACCTCCAACCGTCTTTCTGACAGTATTAATACCGTTCTCAACAATTTAGGTGTGACTCTCTCTGTGAGATTGAGAGCGTGAATGGGAGAGTGAGTCGGTTAGGCCGGCCAGCTGGAGCTCTGTTCTGTGTAGTTCGTTTTTTTTAGGTGGCCTAACGATACATTTTTTCTTATATAAAAAGCAAGGTTGTCAAACCGGTTTATGCCAGTGTGCCGGTTTAGCAAGTGGAATGGTTCGACCGGTGGCACATACCGGTTTGTGCCGGTTCATGCCGGTCAATATTACAAATAAAATTATAAATACTCATATTTAAACATGACATTTAACGTCAATACTTAAACATTTATACTTGAATCCAACAAATAACATCAATATTTAACTTTTATACTCATAAAATAAATAATAAAATTATTTTTATCAATTAAACTCGCTAAAATAAGGTCATTTTACTTAGAAATTCGTATATCGATCATGCCGGTCATACCGGTAGTGTCACGCCGGTTTTATGACTGGTATCGGTTGAACCAGGTTCAACCGGTGGCACGCCGGCCGGCGTGACAACCATGATAAAAAGAAAGGGTAATGTTTTTATTCAAATGTTTTTTAATTCTATTATATTATTCAAACCTATCGAAATACTAAGAATTAGTCAAATATTTCATAATGCATTCCTACTTTATTTAATCCAATACTTATAATTGTCACATGATTAATATTACACTTTGCCAAATGACAAAGAAAGGTAAATTTTTTATTTATAATTTTTTATAATATAATAAAGAGTAATTGTACAGTTGTTATTATAACGGAATATAAGGGGTCGCTTGGAAGTTGTGATTGTTAGAGTTGCGTTGAATACATGTATTGTGCACAATACAATGTTTGGAAGTGTCAAAGTGTAAAACAATGCATGTTTTAGGTAGGCCCCACCAACAATCACAAAAAATGATGCATTATACAATCTCAACTAAAAGTTTAGATTGTTGTGATTGTTGATTTTAGATTTGTGTCAACTTTTTCTTTCCATTTATATCCCTAAAAGTTTTTGTCTTGTTCTAAAATCTGAGGGTAAATGTGACATTTTCCCATAAAAATAACTTTATGTAAATCAATGCATAAAGTAGAATTTCAACAACCAAACAATGTATTGTTTAACAAAGTATTTATATTATTGTGATTCATTACAATACAACGATTTAACATTCGCAACTTCCAAACGACCCCTAAGTAATCTGGATGAAGATTTGAAGGTTTTCTCCACGGCTAATTAATAATAATATTATTATTATTATTATCGATAATGATGAGACATATCTCAATGGTGATGAACGAAAGTGCAGGAGGGATACATGGTCCACCGGAGCAAATCGGCGACCCCGGTCCAGCCGGAGCGCCTGAAAAGCCGGATCATCTTCCACGACGGCCGGTTCGTCCAGCGACCCGACCCGGTCAACGCCCTCCTGACCTACGCGTGGCTGCCCTTCGGCTTCCTCCTCTCCATCTTCCGGGTCTACTTCAACCTCCCGCTCCCCGAGCGCATCGTCCGCTACACCTACGAGCTCCTCGGGATCCACCTCGTCATCAAGGGCAACCCGCCACCGCCGGCAAACTCCACCTCCGGCGGCAACCTCTACGTCTGCAACCACCGCACCGCCCTCGACCCCATCATCATCGCCATTGCCCTCGGCCGGAAGGTCTCCTGTGTCACATACAGCGTCAGTCGCCTCTCCAGGTACGAATCGAATCAATCAATCAAAATTTGATGACAACAACAGTTTTTATTTTATTTTTATATAAGGGTTATAAGATAGGTTGTTTCTATGGTTAAATGCTACTGAAGATATTAGAATTTCATATTCAAGATTAATGATATTATACCCATTAAATTAAATAATTAATTTCTTGTTCGCTGAATGCAGTTTTTGTCTCATACTAGCTAATAGTAACATAGAAGTAAAACTAATGGAAAATATATTCAGGGTCAGAGCTAGAGGCTTAGAAATGGTTCTATGATAACCCTTAATTTGGAGAAGTAAGAATTAGTAGTATGAGTATGTCAATAATGAAATTTGAACTTCAAATCTTAATGTTAATTGTCAAATTTTAACCATTCACCATCCCGTTAATTGTATAAATTAGTTTTGACCTATAAATTTCTATATTAATACAATCTCATATCCGCCCTAACCAGCCCAATCTGGAGTAACCACATCCCGTCTGAGCCTTTTTAATCCTATATCGACCCTTTTTCTCCAGTCAACTGGTTTATTAAGATGGTAGGAGGCGCAGATTATTAGAGGAAATCTTTAAACTTTCTATGATAATGGTAGTTGGAAAGAGAAAATTGGTTTCCATCAATGTATTTGCTTGTGAAACTAGGTTCTGTTAGCTACGGGTTATTGTCAATACACATGTTGATATAAAAATTCATTTAATGAAATGATTGACCCATCTTGGAATCCAATGATACAAAACCGGGAATGGTGATCATATTTTGCTCTTCTCTTAAGTCTCTAAATATGTGCATGTTCCTGCTGCAGGCTGCTCTCCCCAATCCCGGCCGTGGCGCTGACCCGCGACCGCGAAGCAGACGCGGCCATGATCAAGGCCCTGCTGGAGAAGGGCGACCTGGTGGTCTGCCCCGAGGGAACCACCTGCAGGGAGCCTTTCCTCCTTCGGTTCAGCGCCTTGTTCGCCGAGCTCAGCGACCGGATCGTCCCCGTGGCGATGGACTGCAAGCAAGGCATGTTCTACGGGACGACGGTCCGCGGGGTCAAGTTCTGGGACCCTTACTTCTTCTTCATGAACCCGAGGCCGAGGTACGAGGTGACGTTCCTCGAGAGGGTGCCGGCGGAGATGACGGTGAAGGCCGGCGGGAGGTCGTCGATCGAGGTGGCGAACTACGTGCAGAGGATGCTGGGAGACGTGCTTGGGTTCGAGTGCACTGGGCTGACGAGGAAGGATAAGTACATGCTGCTTGGTGGGAACGACGGGAAGGTGGAGTCCATTCATAATGCCAAGAAGGCTGTATGATATATGCTTAATTAATTATGGATCCCATGTTTTTTTTTTGTGGTAAGCAAGTGAATGATGCTACTACTGCTACTCCTAGTAATTGGGAATTATTTACTGTTGTTATTGTTATAGAATTTGTGTGTGGTGAGATTGCTCATGCAATGGGCTGCATATTTTTTTTTTTTTTTTTTTTAATGTGGACGATTTGGTCGAGTGAGGAGAACGGATCATGTAATAATGATTTTTAAGTTATGGATGTTGGCTAGCTAGCTGTTGTAGAATTGTGTCTGCATTTCGTTGATTTTCTATGTCCTCGTGTTCTATTGGATTTTGGCTAATTCAATCATTTGGAATCGGGCAGAAAAGAAGAATTTTGAGCCCTGGCCTTTCAATTTTGAAAACCACAACAGTCTGGATTTCAAAATAGCGCTAATCGCGGCTATTTTGAAATTGTTGGAAGTTTTATCTACTTAATTAATGGAAATGAACGGTTGTAGCCAAAATAATCACCCCATTGTGGCCCAGGAGAATCATCCGGTCTTATATTATATACACAAAGAATCGCTATAGAAAAAAAAGTCTGTTTCTTGTTCTGGATTTTGTCTACAGAGCTTTAACTACGTTTAACTTTTTATTCCTACTAGAATAACTATCTTTATCCTATGTTTAAAGGTCACTAATTACAAACACAAACGAATGTATCTCAATGAAATATTATCACTAGTGTATCATTTCGCTACAATATAACGTGGCCAACTAGCTTGCCACGTCCCCCTCCCAATATAATGTGTATTTCCCGAAAACTGATGGGATAGGCGATTTTTTATTCGATTTTCTGGAATTCGGTTTCTATAAAACTTACTCCACCTCATCATATTACCAGAAACAATATTGTTTCACAAGGTAACAGGTACTTGATTTTGGTTCATAAGGCCGATTTTTGATTCGTTGCATCATTCATATCTCTTTCCTGCTAAAATTCACTATTTTTATCACGTGTTTTCAAAAAACTATACAACAATAAGCTATACACCCATTACATTATCAAATTTCATACGCTAGTTAATGTATAGTTTCTCCCACTCTTAACTCCCACTCTGTCCCGGTGTGTTTTGCGATTAAGAAAGGCTGATTTGTAACCACCGCTCACTCTCATCTCCCATAAGCCAAATCCCAAATCTACCCTCAACGCCACGCCTATATTAACCCACCCGCCAGGCCGTCACCACATGAAAATATGTCTGTTTTCGATAATTCGCCACTGCACGGTAGTGGGGGGTAAATGCATAATTTCCCAAGTTTTTGTTCACTGGAAGGATGACGCGCCACGTGTCAACCTCTGGACCCTCCTTTGCCATTTCCCGCTTTTCAATTTCCTCATGGCGAGAGCATCGTCTTCAATTATCCTCAACTGGGGGGAGTTGGGAGGAGACAAGATACGGGTTCACTAGAGTGGAGCGACGGGGAATAAAAGCCACCGACGACGTCGTCTTCCTGCTGCTCCTTAGTCTTATCTTCTTCTTCTTCTTCTTCGCTGCTTCTCATTCAATGGTGCTGCTGTAATTCCGTCTCCTTGGCATACTGTGGAGCTGCTGCTGTTTTCCCTTACCCGGTGTCAATGGCTATCGGGGGTTTGATTTCTCACCGGAACTTCGGTTCTTTCGTCGGCTCCGGTATGAATTGGTGGTGGAATTTCGTTTTATTTTCCGCTGCATTTCGTTTTTTATCTTTGTTTCCCACTCCAATGTTTGCTGCTCGTCGTCGGCGACCGAAAATTGAGTTCAGCGACTTCAATTTTGTGACCACTGGATTTCTCCTACTGCTTAATCTTTGCTTGCATTCACTGCCTGCAAGCTTGCTCAGTAAAGTTGGGGGCAATTTAGCTCTTTCCCATTGCAGTAGGGTTTTTGAAGTTGATAGAATAGAATGTGAATTTCCCTGAATTTCATTTAGTGCGGGGAATTGAGGGCTCTGCATGCGGCGGCCCGGCCGCCGATATGGTAGTCTAAATTAGGCAGCTGCCTAGCTTCCACCTCTTCTTGAATGGACTTTTGGAAATCTGCGGAATAGGAAATTCGAGGGTACATTGACTCACACTGCCTTGATATTTGTATCTGGGTAGTGTCAGTAGTGACGTAGTAGGATCTGCACTGTAGATTTTCTACTCCTTTAGCTAGCATGTGTGCCCAACAACCATCTTACAATGCTGGATTTTTCGTCTGGTATGGAGGGTACAAATTGTTTAATACTGGTAACTTCATCATATCATGTTGGCAGGGAAAGGATGTGAGTCACAAGTACGGGGTGCAAATTCTACAGCCTTCTATGGAAAGTTTAGCACCAAGACAGCCAGACAGGTTGCGCCCATCGTCCCATCTTCCGCTCGTCTTCGAATTAACTGCCACTTAAATGGGGTGACTTTGAGGCTACCAGCGACTCATCTTCCTAAGAAGCCGAGAGGCCAATGGCAGAATTTCGGGTCTCCAAAGGTCAATAGGACCTGTGCTTACTACAAATCCGAGGAGTTTGACATACCGGTGGAAGCAGCTGTTGAATCGCTGAACCCGGAAGATGGTTCCGGTGAGGTTGCTTTAGTGGAAGGGAATGTGGATGGAGCAGCTCCATGGTGGCAGCAGCTTCCTAAGAGATGGGTGGTTGTGCTACTATGTTTTACAGCATTTCTCTTGTGCAACATGGACCGAGTAAGTACCTTGATGCATTAGAAATTTCAAATTAATATGTGTCAGATACTGCCACCATGTTACCGTTTTAGCATTCAAATACTGAATTATTGAATGATGTATTGCTCTGCCTAATATACAACCTCACTCGATACTTATGGCAGGTTAACATGAGCATTGCCATACTTCCGATGTCAAAAGAGTTTGGTTGGAATAGTGCTACAGTTGGTTTAATTCAGTCCTCTTTTTTCTGGGGCTACCTAATGACTCAGGTGAGTGTTGTGAAAGCAGAAATTTTCATCTAGCGCACTGAAGTCAACTATTCATTACAGAGGTTTTGTCATGACTCAACAAAGGACATTTCTCTTTACTGTTGTACTCGTGTTCATTGTTTTGAATTATCAAAGAAGTTATAGAAAAAGAAGATTTTGCTTCTACTCCTGTATGAAGCTTGTTTTTGAATCCTATAGTGCACCCATACCTTTTCGATTTATTTTTTTGCCACCCACTTGCAGATTGTAGGAGGAATTTGGGCAGATAAAGTTGGCGGCAAGCTGGTATTGGGTTTCGGAGTTGTGTGGTGGTCAATAGCCACCATTCTGACTCCCGTTGCTGCCAAAATCGGACTTCCGTTTTTGCTCATGATGCGTGCTTTTATGGGAATTGGCGAGGTCAGTCTATTACTTGCTAAAACCGTATAATAGCATGTAGTTGAGTAACTACCTGTCACTAATCAGTTAAGCAGAAATGATTTGTGTCACTTTGACAATAATTTTCATACCAAAGATGGAACAAATGGTTGAATAATTTGCAGCTGGAATATAACTTCTAATAAAGGACATGCTACTATTAGAAGAAAGAAGAGTATCAGCCTTTCGGCTTACGTTGGACGGGTTTTGATACAAAATGTTTGTTACTGTGATTTCCTACCTTCTCCTTTTTAGTAAAATGTTCTAATTTGGTGAACTATATCTTCTGATGACGGCTGCTATATGTCGAGGTCTGACTATCCTAAATGAATGGGTATTTCATACCCAAGTAAAATCCATAAACTATCTGGTGATCAACCTGTGTTGCAGGGTGTGGCGATGCCGGCTATGAACAACATCCTCTCGAAGTGGATTCCTGTATCTGAAAGAAGTAGAGCGCTTGCCCTTGTTTATAGCGGGATGTATATGGGTTCTGTCACAGGATTAGCTCTCTCTCCTGTTCTAATAAATAGATTCGGGTGGCCATCTGTCTTCTATTCATTTGGGTCCCTAGGTACCATCTGGTTTGCATTGTGGCTTAAAAAGGTAATCGTTGGCTCCTTTCAGCTCCTTCTTGTGGGCATACCATTTTCAATGAACCCTTTTCCATGATTGGGGAGAAAAGATCGTGAGATGAACTTGTCGTTGGCATGTTCTTAATGTTGACTTGAAATTATCAATAGAAGGCCACTAAATAAGTTATTGTGCATGTTCCCTGTTTTGTATGTAGGCATATAGTTCTCCGGAGCATGACCCTGAGCTGAGCCCACAGGAAAAGAAGCTTATTATGAGTGGTAGTGTATCAAAAGAACCCGTTACAGTCATTCCTTGGAAGTTGATCTTATCCAAACCTCCTGTTTGGGCACTTATAATTTCTCACTTCTGCCATAATTGGGGAACTTTTATACTCTTGACTTGGATGCCTACTTATTACAACCAGGTGATTGATCGTTTCCCCCTTCTATCGAGATCTTTGAAATTTCATTCAATGCAGCTGGTAATGATGTTATCCGGAGATAGGTCGTCTTACATTATAACTTGTTTTTGTTCTATTTGTGATTGCAGGTTCTAAAGTTTAACCTCACTGAATCTGGGCTACTATGTGTTTTGCCATGGCTGACAATGGCTGTTTTTGCGAACTTAGGAGGGTGGATTGCTGACACACTTGTTAGCAAAGGCCTTTCCATAACAACAGTCCGGAAGGTAAGAAGTAAATGTTTATGTTGTTATTTTTACGAATTGGATGCTATTCTAAATCTCTTGTTACTTGACAAGTACGAGATCAACCTATTTTTGCATATGACTGTTGCAGTTGTTGAATGTTAAACTTCATCTTGTCTTTGGTCCTTTACTTTTTCTCTTTATATTCGGCAAGTCATTGATGTTTGTAATGGCATACTTCCCTGTCGCAGATCATGCAATCAATTGGCTTTTTGGGCCCTGCATTCTTTCTCACGCAGCTGAGTAATGTGAAGACTCCAGCAATGGCAGTACTGTGCATGGCTTGTAGTCAGGTTTCTCCCTCAACTTGTTAGGCCTCCGAAATTAGTATCTCAAAAGCACTAGAAGTCTACGACATAAGAATGCAGATAATCCTTGAACACTCACTTTCATGAGAAGGAAAATTTGCAAGTACCAATTGTATCTGCTGCCATCATTTGGATTGTCATTTGTCACCACGGACAGTGCCTTGAAAATCTTCTTTTACGAGAAAGCAGGCAGAATGAATCTACATAAATGTAGCAAAGGAAATGAAAATATTTGCTGAACATTTGACAGAGTAAAGGATATTAATAATGGTTTAGCATATAAGTATTTGGTATCTTCCTGCTAGAAAATGGTTTATGAAACAGGATTGAACTTCCTGGTGTGTTGTTGAGTTAATGAGGGCCATTATTGTATTTGGTGATCAGGGATCTGATGCGTTTTCCCAATCTGGTCTATATTCCAATCACCAAGATATTGGCCCACGTTACGCTGTAAGTACTCTCCTTTTACACCATCCATCACCTTAAGCAATAGTTCTTAATTGCTTGAAGATATATTTGCCAAGCAGAAAACACCGGTTCTATTAGATTTGGAGTTCGCTTTGTGAGGTGATTTCGTAAAACAAGCACTGATTGTTCTAAATAGGAATGATATTTGGTCAACTTTCTTTACTAAACCCTACTTGGATGAGTGTGCATCTGTAGGTAATATTGCAAAACTACATGTGTAGTAAATGGAGATGGCCTCCTCTAGTGAAGCAACTGAGGTTGCATTATCTTGTGCAGGGGGTTCTGCTAGGTCTATCAAACACAGCGGGAGTGCTTGCTGGTGTGTTTGGTACTGCAGCAACTGGCTACATCCTCCAAAGAGGTGAACAAGTGACGCGGCAATGAAGACACCACTCTCCGATTTTCAATCAAGCAATTTTGCACTTCTCCCTTCTTAACTCAAAATTTCTCTATATATACATTGTTGTCACCGACTTGCATTGTGGCGTCGTCTGCAGGTTCCTGGGACGATGTGTTCAAGGTGGCAGTGGTTTTGTACATAATAGGGACGCTAGTGTGGAACTTGTTTTCAACTGGGGAAAGAATTCTTGACTGAGGGAACTTAAAAAGGAGCGAAGTGAAAAGAAGGCGAACAACGTAGCGCATGCAACTGCAAGAGGGATGAGCAGTCGCCGACGGAAGGTGATCATGTAGAGAGAAAAGTATGAGCAGAACTGTATACGCAGGGATGGGGGATGAACTCCATGGATGCTATCGGATATTAAGATCAGTTGTAATCTTTTCTCACCAGGGGCCTCTTTAGTTTTGATCTGTGGAAATAATGTCAGGATAGATGCCATTGAAATACCCTTTTTTTTTTGCTTTCCTGAAAAGTTTCAACATGCATCCATATTGTGTCCTTCTAGCTACTCTTTCCCTGTGATTAATGTATTAGAAGAACAACAGAGGTTTTGCTGATCAGAGAAAATATGCAGGGAGGGGATTGAACTTCCAGCCAACGCCCGGCTGAGATCGCCTGCAAGTAGTAGCTGGCTAGTAATGTAAACCTCAATTTCATCCCCAAACAAATTTTATGACTTTGTTTTCAACTATTTAGGCACAATTATTCCTTCTACTATATTTATTATTCATTTATGAAGTTTTTTCTTTACGTGTTCTTGTAAAAGAATTAAATATCGAAAACCAATCCAAAACATTTCAATTCATCACAACTTAGATAAAACAAACCAACAACAAAAAAAACCCAGTTGATAAAAGGAACAGCACAACAGCAGCAACCATTATTCGACTCGACCATTACTCAAATCCATAGTTCAAACTATAATCCAAAAACCGCCTGAAAAAGAAGTGCACATACACATATAGTTATTCTTAACTGATCATTCGTCTTCGTTGCCTGGGCGGCGGAAGCGCTTGCAAAAGAGAGACTTCCCTGCGACAGAGAACCTGACTTCATCTTCACCGCCGAGTATCATCGCCGGAATGTAGGACGCCCGGAAGTACACCTTGCCGTACATCGGCGGTTCCCCCCGGTCGATATATACCCTCTCCACGCAACGCCCATACCTCCTGCATCCATATATATATATATAAATTAAAAGCCCAAACAAAATAATTAACAAACTCAACCCAACCCCCCATTTTATGGCCACTCGATATATACCCTCTTCACGTCATATTTGTTGTATTCACGTTATATTTGTTTCAATCGCGTCATATTTGCATTACTCACGTAAGAGTGTTGATTATTCACGCAATCAATATTGTTAGGTCACGCAACCTGATGTTCATTCACGCATATTGTTAATTATTCACGTCCTTGTAAAATAAAATTTTAAATTTTGAAATATATCAAAACGAATGTCATTCTGTAGATTATGATCAATGCAACATATTCTTATAGTTTAATTGATAATCTGAATTTAATTCCATAAAATATAGCCAATACAAATTATTATGGGGAAAAAGTCTGAATTTTCATTTACGTGAAAAATTTACACTCTTACGTAAATCACAATAGGATTACGTGAATGAGCATAAAATGGTGTGAATGGGCACAAAATGATGTAAATGAGCTGGCCCTTGGGTGATTTGTCACCTAACGTGACAAGAGATGTTTTCCAATGCAATATATAAAGGTGACTACTTCAGTGTACTGAGTGATTCAATGCACCTAACTCTAAAATTAGCTTAAAGGAATCGAATTTCAAATTTAATTGGTAGGACTAATCTAATATGAAAATATAACATAGAATCACAACTAATCAATATATTTTCCTAAGGCCTACACCTTCAATTTTGAACCCTAACCTTAAACCTCAAATTGTAAAACCCAAACCCTAAATTCCTAAACTCTTAATCAATCAAATCAAAGTAAATCTTGAATTATTCTTGAATGATTTACTTTGACTTGAATGATTTAGGGTTTAGGGATCTAGAGTTAGGGGGCTAAGGTTTGCAATTTGGAGTTCAGGTTTGGGCTCAAAATTGAAGGTTTAGTGCATAGGATAATGCATTAGTTAGTAGTGAACCTATGTTGTATTATATTATTATATTAGATAATTCTACCGATTAAAATTAAACATTGATGGATTATCAAAAAAAAAAAAATTAAACATTGATGTTTTATGGTTATTTATCGAGTTGAGTGTACAATACGCACTCAATTTTTGTTTGTATCAATAATTCACAATTAGCTAGTTTTCCGATCAACTTAGAAGATTAGTATTGTTGCTATTGGTCAATATAAGTTTTGAAATAACATTTTCCACAATAAAGTATGTGAATAACATACTTTTTATCGTCTGGATAATAAATACGTTTAAAAACGTTGTAGAATACGAAAACAAATCGTATTATAGAAACGTAATAAAAATCATGTATATTTTTTTTATGTCGAACCCACGTAAACAAAATCCTAACTACCATTTGCCCCAAAAAAAATTTCTGACTACCCGACTGTATATTTATATACTGATTTTTTCGAACTAATTAATTATCGATGGTTACCGAGTGAAAAAGCGCTCAATTTGGTCAGCCCACAAGGGGTCGCCGATGGAGAAGGTCACGTACAAGCATCGATCCTCCACCGGTGCACGCCCGCTCTCTGGGCTCCACGCTCGTGCCTTAGGGTCCAAGCTCCCTCCTCCTCCTCCTGCCGCCGTCGCCGCCCTACCATCATCACTCTTCTCCTCCTCGTCCTCCTCTCCATCATCTTCTCCTTCCTCATCTTCGTCGGAGGTGATGTCGATCTTCCTCTCCCTCAAAACACCATCCAACAACTCATGCAAGGTCCCCTCACAGATCTCCTCTATCTCATTGGCCACCCGCTCCCTCCCCGCGACTATCCCATCGAGAGGGAACTCGTTGTGGGATATGTCGAGGGTGACGGGGAGGACAGGGATGTCCTCCTTAGTCGCGGTGGAGGACGACAGGAAGGACACCATGGTTTCAGCCTCCGCCGCCACAAGTTGGAGGATCTTGTCGCTCCTGTGGGCTATTGTGGTGAGAAGGTCTGGAAGGCCACCATGGCCTTCCAGCCAAACCCAAAAACCTATCACCTTCATCGACAGCCTCGGAGGCCTTCCGACCTCGAGCATCCGAGAGAAGAGACCGACGATCGCGTTCGCCCATGCTCTTGGAGATTCTCGACTAGTAGTATCCATGATTGTAAGGGGGAATCGGATAACTATGGAGAAATGAAAGTGTGGAGAAAGGGGTGAGGGTTTTATAGGGTCTAAACAACGTAGGCAAGAGGATATATGTTGAACCAATGCAATGGTTTGGAAAGGAAAGGAATTTTACAAACCAAGAAATGTTGTATTCTTTTATAGAAATGGTTTATTGAAAAGCAAAAAAAAAAAAAATAAATAAATAACAGTGTACGTTTGTATTTAAATGTCGTGGATTAGGGTTCCTTTTTTGTTGGTTTCCTAATTTCTTCCTTTTGGTAGTAATCCGTCGTATACATATTACATACACTGTTTGTAGTGATGGCATTGGATTTTGGATATGGTGCTGACCTATCAAGGGACAAGTATGCTTTTTTTTTCTTTACTAGCTTAAGTCTTTTTCTTTGTATTATTTCAAAATTAAATAATAAATAATATCAAAGAGATGAATTTAGTCTTAGTATAAGGAAGGGACATTTCATTTGATATAATTCAAATATCTTTTTTAAAATTGACCATAATATTAATGGATGGGTTCAGAACCATCTAAACTTAAGAAGTTTCTTAAGCTAATAAGGTCCATTAGATTAATCGTGTTTAGTTAGTGAATAGTTAGTGGTTATTTGATAGTTAGTGGTAGTGATGGCATTGCATTTATAGGTTAACTAATGATTGGAGAATTTATTAAAACCAGCGGCATTTCTAACGTAAGTCAAACAGATTTGAATTTTCTCCTACTGTTTTCTAGGTTTTACAACTTACACACGTTCCACGATGCCAGCGACGTGATTCCTCCGAACTTACGAACTGTTTTTGGTGCCCCTACGGCGCCTTTGACAGCATACCCATCGGATTACCCGTATGGTTTACGGTTAATTCTCGGATTAAGTTTGTTGGCAAAACTTCGAGGAAAAAGGATACTAGATAAGATTCCAAGCCTCCTGAAGTATTAGAAATAGCTAGGAATGTTAGGTCTGACGTGTTGCATTCTGAAGAGCAATAACAGTAGAGTTCTCTGGATGAGGTATCGTGGTTCCGAAGTCTAAGTTCGATTTTCTTTGCTTGAGGTTTGACCATGTGGATTCTAGCGAGGTGATTCATAAGTGTTATTAATGATCCCAACATTACTAAAGATTTTTCCTAAAGACCATACTATTTTATGTGTCATATCAGTATTGATGATTTATTAGAGTTATAATGAAACAGGTTTAACGTTTTATGTTACGTATTATTAACAAATATGGTCAACTTATTAATGTTTATGTTACTGATTTCGTCGTTTATCACATTTAATTAGTCTTTCCTTTTGATTTTTTTACCTCTAGATTGTGGCTATGCACGAGGAGGCTAGTTTGTCCCTTGATGTGTTGCGTATTCAAGCTATAGTTTGCACCGTGTGTAATCAAGGATTATAAGGTTGATTCCTATAATTCTGATGAGGATTTTGATGGTGGCTATGACGATCTATGATCTGAGGATGACACTACCAGTTAGAATTCCCTTCTCATTATTAACTGTTTGTACACGTGTTTTTAACATATCAAAATTTTTCTTTTTTAGTTATCCAATGTTATGCCATGTAAATTACCATTGACATAATACTTGCCAACATTTTTAAAAGGTTTTAAGGCACGAAATTGTAGGACTTAATTAGTAACAATTTTATAGTTTAACTTGTTATTGCACACTTGCAATGCTTTTCAAATGGTTTTGAACAATAGCATTTTTTGTTTTTAACATTGTCACAATTTTTATCAAATCCTATTCACCTCAGAAAACCATGTGCTGAACATGAAAGTTGGGATTGCAAATTTACCAATCCCGCGTCAAGTGACGGCCGCTACGAAAGTTGTCTGTTTTTCTTTAGGACGAATAGACTACTCCGAAACTTCAATCATACCTGGCTCACGCTGATCCCTAAATTGGACATTGTTGAGAACATGAGACAGCTCACTTATAAGCTTATGACGGTTTGTGTATAAAATAATTACTAAACTCATGTCTAAAAGACTAGCCCGCTTCCTACACCAGGTCATCCAGGAGGGACAAAATGCTTTCATCTGGGAACGACAAATTGTGGAAAATGTCCTGCTAAGACATGAATTAATGCACTATCTGAAAATCAAAACCCGTGGAAAGAAAAGGTACATGGCTCTAAAGGTTGACATGAAAAAAGCCTATGATAGAGTCGAATGGTCATTTATCCTTGTGCTTTTGGACAAGTTAGGCTTTAATACTACCTAGTGCGGGTGGATCCAGGAATGTCTTAACACAACGTCGTTCTCGATTCTTATCAATGGTACTCCCTCGGGTTTTTTACCCCATCTAGAGGTCTTCGACATGGTGATCCGCTATCCCCTCTCCTTTTTGTAATATGCACAGAGGAGTTTGCAGCGCTTCTTCGGAGGGCTATTGATGAAGGGAAGCTAGTAGGGGTTAAGGTGGCCCCTAGAGCCCCTCAGATTTCGCATCTATT